GGTTGAAAAAATTTGAAAAAAATAATGACGATTTTGACAAACTTCAAGACACCGACTACGAGTTGAAGGTATTTTTAAATAAGTCGAGTGGCCCGAACTGATATATAATTTATTGAAATTCGCTATTAAAAGAACCAAGGATCAAACATTAATTTTTTACTAAAAGTAATAGATTTTTGAAATGTTGACACCAATATTTATTATTCTATATCTATATCTATATCTATATATCTATATTAAAAGTCAACCTATTTACCAAAAACAGTAGCAAGAAAAGTCAACACACATTTAATGCGTACTTTATTTGGAAATTTTTTACCATATGCATTAAATGCTTGCATATTTACATTTACTATCCAAATATGATCTTCAAGATTTTTTCCTTAAATAATTTATGCAATTATTTTACTGATAGCCATTATAATTAATATTTGTCGAGTAATATTTTTTAACCTTTATTTAATTATATAACACTAATATTTTTTTAAAAAATTAATATTATTTATTATTTAAAAGATAATGATCACATCATTAAATAATTTTATTGATGGTTATATAATAAAATTATAGTTATTCTTTAAAATTTCGACATGTTATTTATTTGTATATTATTGTCAACTATGATAGTGTTTTTATTACTTTTTTTTGTTATGTTTCAAAAATGAAATTATTGTAAAATATTTTTCTGTTGCATAGTATGTTAAACAAACTATAAAGCCTTAGGATGAAAATTAGAAAAAATCTCTTGATTATGTAAGGGATTTATTTTTTGGCAATTGCTAAATCATTTTTTTTAAAAAAAAAAGAATTATTATGAGGAAATTGAATTCTAAAAAACATGTGTGTGTATTTTGTAAACATTTATACTCAAAATTTTATTTTTAATTTCATTAAATAAAGAAGACTACTTCTATAAATTTTATAAATAATAATAATTACATTATATGACTGTAAATTTTATAATAAAATAATAATTGAGTATTATATGATGAACAATAATTAATTAAATTTTTATTTTTTCCTATATCAATGAATAAATATGTATTTTAAAATCAAATAAATATTAGTATGACGTGTTAGCGGAATTATATATTAATTAACATATTAATTTTTTGGCTTAAATAAACGCCACTTATTAAAAGATTAGAAATATGGATGATCCAAGTCTATTATTTTTTTGTCTAGACGTACAAGTCCTATAGAAACAATTGATTTATTGTATGTATCACGTGCATCGCACGGGGTATGCACTAATAAATGACCTTAAAATTGTGCACCCCGTGCATCATCCGTGTTCACATTTTGGCCTATTACAGGTCACGTACTATATATATCCCGTACATTTTTTTTTATTCATTTATATAATTATAAGAATGAATAAATAGCCTTAAAATTGTGCACCCCGTGCATCGCACGGGCTCTGTACTAGTATATATATATTAAAAGCCAACCTATTTATAAAAAATAGTAGCAAGAAAAGTCAACACACATTTAATGCAAACCTTATTTGGAATTTTTTTACTACATGCATTAAATGCTTGCATATTTACATTTATTATTCAGATATGATCTTAAAAATTTTTTCCTTAAATAATTTATGCAATGAGTTTACTGATATCCATTATAATTAATATTTGTCGAGTAATATTTTTTAAATTTTATTTAATTATATAAAACTAATATTTTGTTTAAAAAATTAATATTATTTATCATTTAAAAGATAATGATCACATCATTAAATGATTTTATTGATGGTTAGATAAGAAAATTATATTAGTTATTCTTTAAAATTTTGACATGTTATTTATTTGTATATTATTGTCAACTATGATAGTGTTTTTATCACTTTTTTTTGTTATGTTTCAAAAATGAACTTATTGTAAAATATTTTTCTATTGCATAGTATGTTAAATAAACTATAAAGCCTTAGGATGAAAATTAGAAAAAATCTCTTGATTATGTAAGGGATTTATTTTTTGGCAATTGCTATATCATTTTTTTTTGAAAAAAAAAAATATTACGAGAAAATTGAATTATAAAAAACATGTGTGTATTTTGTAAACATTATACTCAAAATTTTATTTTGAATTTCGTTACATAAAGAAGACTACTTCTATAACTTTTATAAATAATAATAATGACATTATATGACTATAAATTTTATAATAAAATAATAATTGAGTATTATATGGTGAACGAGAATAAATAAAATTTTATTTTTTCTTGTATCAATGAATAAATATGTATTCTAAAATCAAATAAATATTAGTATGACGTGTTAGCGAAATTATATATTAATTAACATGTTAATTTCTTGGCATAAATAAACGCCACTTATTAAAAGATGTGAAATATGGATGATCCAAGCCTATTATTTTTTTGTCTAGACGTACAAGTCCTATAGAAATAATTGATTTATTATATGTATCATGTGCATCACACGGGGTATGCACTAATTTATATAAAGAGACAATCTATTTACCAAAAATAGTAATAAAAAAGTCAACCAACATTTATTTCATTCTATTTTGGTAATTTTTTTTTTTTTAAAAAATTATACCTAAAAAATCAATCAGCTATATATTTACCCTAAATTCATGAGTTTTGTGGATTTGTTTTAGGTAAATTTCGACTGATGCTTATAATTTTGCAAATGTCAAAATTCTTTCTCATTTGTTATTTTTTTTTAACAAAATTGATTACCATAAAATCGGAAATTTCGAATTAGGTAAAATAATATCACATATATCTTTTACTAATTGCAACAGATTAATTGTTTATTAAAAAATCGAATTGCATAGAAATGAGTTAAATTATGTAAGATCCGGCATGACAATTTTGAAAAGTGAAAATTTTCTCATTTTTTATTAAAAAAATATGTTTACCATAAAATCGAGAACTTCAAATTAGACAAAAACTGACGAAAACTGTAACATGTATGTTTATCTAATTACAACAGATAATGCTTATTAAACAAAAAGACAGACTGCACAGAAATGGGGCCTAAATTCAAATTTAAAATCAAAATCTAAAAATCCTCTATCATTTGGCTATTACTTTCTTTAGTTCGAAAATTTTTAAACATAAAATAGAGTCAGCTAATATTAATTTACAATTCAAAATGAAATTGGATTGGAACATCCTAAAAATTTGGGTTTTGTTTAATCTTCTAGAATTCAAATTTGAATATAAATGCATATACTTACAAAATAAATAATAATTGCATACACTTACAAATATCATATATATCCTTCTAAATAATAATTGCTTTATTTAAGCCTATCTCGAATTCTAATATAATTTGTGGTGATAGACGATGTATCAAAAGATCAAACAAATAAGGTTGTGTATAAGGATGTGTTTGATAATATATAAATGTTATAAATATATTAATATGGACATTACTAATATATAATTGGGTCTGAAGTCCATTAGTTAGGAAATTAAGTTTTAGAGTTTCTCTTGTAAACCCTATGAAAAGGTGATAATGGATAAGAACATTATCGTTATCTTTAGTGCACATCTTTTATGCTTGGATTGATGAATGTTTGTTAAAGATTAAGAGTTCTAATTTACAACAATAAGTTATATTTTGTTTATTCCAATACATGCGTTTTACGATCATCCAATCATCTAAATCTCAATGTTTACCTTAATAGAACTCTTAATAAAACTAGTCCGTGCATTGCACACTAGTAAATTCATAATAAAGTACATTTGGTGTTAAATTGACCCATTAGAAAATATAGTTTAAGTGGATAAAAGTGAAACTTCTCCAACAATTTTCGATTTTGAGAAGGTTATTTCAACTCATTCCAACGGAGTTTTGCCTCTCAAAATTACTTCCAACATTTTTTTTTTTTTTTTAACACCCAATGTAAAAAAGGGCAAAATTTCATCCCTTTTCACAAATTTCCGGCCGATCCAATGGAGCAACCCCCATCGTCTCCACAGCCCACCGACCAACAACTGCCTCCGCAAAACCCTCAACCAACGCCCGCCACCATTACCGACGCCGTTCCCACCACACCCTCCTCTCTCCCGCTGCCCGCGGCCAACAGCCCGTTCCCAAATCCAAACCCGAACTTCACCGCTGCCTCAAACAACCCGGCGCCGACGCAATCGCAGCAATCAACTCCGACTTCACAAGCAAGGCCGACATTTGGTACTCGCCCATGGCAGCAGCAACCCTCCTACTCGCATTTCTCTCTGCCTTCGCCTCCCAATCCCGCTTCCTCTTCCTCGACAC